AAAAAATGACTGGCCCAAGGTCACTCAGCTATACGTTATTATTTTCATATAATATTTAGGATTTCAAGTTTAAAACAATCTCGGATTTTCTACTAGCAACATATTTCCATTTCTGTGATTAATATTGAACATAGCCATTGTGCCACATCCACTGGTGGGGGCAGGGGGGAGAGACACATGTTGAAAAGGGGCAGGGATAGAGCTACAATGATGCAATTTGTCAGTCTGAGCAGTGCTGCTGTTATTCATACCAGACATTAGCCTCCGATTTTTCCTCACATACTTCTCCAATATACTTTTATATGTGTATTCTTGAACAAAGTAGAATGAAAACGATACATAAGTGATCAATGAATCCACATCAAAAAATACTCACTCCCATAACCTTCCCACGTTGCTCAGCATCTTCCCACATAGCATATACTACATAGTAACACATGTATTTTCCTGCTCGTCCCTCTTGCTTTATTCGTACTAAGCACATCCTAGAGGAAAGCAAATCATTTTTTAAAAATACAGACACATATAAAAATAAAGATGGAAAATATATTGAAAAGAAAATAAACCAAAAATTAAACAAATTTCAAGAGAATGGTAAAAAGTCTGATTTTAAGAGTATAGTATATAGTAAAATCACTTTGGGATATAAAATAATACAACTTCCAGTAGAGTATTCCACAGCCACAGCATTTTATAGAACACAGGAAAGTGACTGATTAATTTATATTATCCCTTTTAGCTGTTTTCCAGCTATAGGGCTGCAATAATAATAATAAATGATCATAAAGACAGCAGAGAAAACCCATTCAGAATCTCACTTTTAGACACATATACTTAGAGCTCCAATAGTTTTCAACTAATGTTTAATCCCAGACAAATATATGTTAAGACTGGAGCCACAGATTCAATTCATTGGAATGAATATTCAACTAAACATGGAAATCAAGCTGTCTCCTAAAATGAGAATACATAAGGTTACTAGATATCTTTTGGTACAAAACTGGGAACAGTATCAATTCTTTCAAATAAAGAATCAATTTCTTTGAAAAAGAAAGCAAATCCAATGTATGTATCAAGTACTTTCTGTGTCAAAACGTCATTCTTGAAACTGACAATTCAATGTATTAAAAAATTCTGCATGGGTTATTCTAAATTTGGGATTCTGACAGGATTTTGAAAGTACTGTGTGACTGGTAACATATGCAGTATAGACGCTTAATTAAACTAGCATGAACCACAGGTAAGAAATACAATGCAAATCTATAAGAAATGGCTATTTTGCTTTTTTGTGTCCCATTTTTATAAATTTTCAGAGATTGGCAGCTTTCAACTGGAGTACAGTTCTGCCATAAGATATGGCAGTAAACTAATACCAGCTAGCGGGGGGGACTAAGGCATACGACTACAGCTACTGTGCCCAATAATCTATCAGTCCTCCAATTGCCATGTTTTAAAAAAGGGATTTGATGAGGAGTCTGAACACAGTATTTTTAAAATAGTTCCCTGCTGCACAGTCTGAGAAAACAAAGGTCTGCTTTTAAAGAGCTGCAAATTAGTGATCCTATGCACTCCTGAAACACCTTTCTGGAAGCAAAGACAAAGCCTTACGTAGTCCTAATAAAAAAAAAAATCACTGAAATTAATACAATTATCACTGTCTGGAATAAAAATCTACACTAATTCCCAACCTGCCTTTAACCCAATGCTTGAAAAGTTGCAGTGGATTTAGATGCATTGTGCTGTCACACAGCAATTTAGCAACACTTTGAATGAGGTCATGGAAACTGGAATGAGTATCCCATTTATAGTAACTGCCACTTGAGATTAAAATGACAAGAGTTTCTAGCCAGATCAACACAGCTGCCAAAACTTTTATTTTTTATCCCAAGGCTACGTTTAGGCATTCAGTTAATATCTTTATAAGTTTTTGAAATTTTCTTTACCCACTTATTAATTTTGTAAATGAAGGTCCCGCTGCATTATCATAGAGTTTAGAAACCAGAGTATACTTGCTTTATCCATTTTCCCAAATTCATATTTCATAATTTACATACCTGCTCAATTCATAAACAAAGATTTTATCATTTGCTCTAATACTGTTTCTCTCCTTATACCTGACAAATCAATCACTGCTGCATATATCAATGTATTTTTTTCCCATACATTAATCAACCCCTTTCTTCAATGAATTCCAGGCAATCCTGAAACTGAAGCCCTGGGCAGACCTAGTTAGCAATGCTAGGAAGGTTGAAATTGGACTAGGTGGCATGTGTTACTAACTTCCTTCCATCATTCCTCACTATCAGCCATGCTTCCTGGGAATCTAGGGACTTAACTGGTGAAGGACATTTTTCTTGAAGCTAAAGTTGTATACATCGCCAAAATTATTTTGATTCTGATAAATATAATACTGTATGGCATAACGTAAAATACTGATTTTTAATTCACATATTCTTATGCTTCCTTCATTATAATGATATCATGTTGCCAGTGGTGGGATTCAGCCGGTTCGCACCAGTTTGGCAGAACCGATGCCTAATTTTTTGTTGAGTTCGGCGAATTGGTTAGGATCATCTGTCAGTGTAGAAACTAAAAAAATGGGAAACGTCGTCTAGGGAAAGATACACTACTCTGGATTCCTTGTAACATTCTGGGAATGTCACAAGATAAACTACCTTTGCTTTTCAACAGTGATACAAGTAAAATTTGACCGGATTTCCTCCAGAGGAGGTTAGGAGTTTCTGTTGGGGATAGTGGCATCCTCAGCCATACAGTGGGATCCGGAGCCGCCTGCGCTGACTGTTCTGATCCAATTCCCTTTGTTCCCGCTTTGTACTGGATTCAATCCCGCGCTGCCCCTCTGTAGAGCTTGGAACACTTGTAGCTACCGCCACACCTCTTTGCACAAGGAAGGCACACACCTAAACACCATCCTCATGAAAGGACCTCCAGAGCCGCCACAGCCCGCCCCCTCCCCTCCCTCCGCAGGCTGCCCCCCAAGCTTGGTCCACCGGGAGGAGGTTTCCATGGGAAAGGACCCAGCCCTTCAAAGCTGAGACGGTGCTGTGCTTCTGGAAAGAGGCGGGGGCCGAAGCTGTGTAGTGGGGGCAGGATGTGCCCATGGATGCTGGAGGGGGCTCTACACCGCCGCAGTTCCCCTTCCCATCTCCCTTTTAGGTGGGGGCCAGAGTGCCAGTGGGAGAAGGAGCAGGGGGCACTGGCAGCCACAGCAACCCGGAGCAGCTGCGCTGGTTCCCCACTTTTGTGTCGGCTGCCTCTACCTCCCACTTCTATCCCTTGGCCAGGGCGCCTTTTTCCTTTTCCTCAGCCATAGCGACCTTGGTCCAATTGCTCCCTCGATATTGCCCGTTCTCTGCCTTCTGCTGCCATTGCATCTGCCCCTCCTCACTCTTCTTGAGGACCCTTTAATGGCTCGGACCCTCCAGTGACTGCCACCTGACGTTTACACCACCAGTGGCTGCCACAAGAAGCAAAAAAGCCCAAGAGGAGTGTTGTGTATGGTAAGGGGGCGCAGGAATTAGGAATAGACGCTTCATCTCTCTAGTTTCCCGATTGGTGCATACTGGAAAGGGGGTGAGGCCGCCAAGTATTAGCTGGAGTTGTAGCAGAGAACCGGTTGTTAAATTATTTGAATCCCACCACTGCATGTTGCTTACTTTAACCTATCATCTGCTCTTAACTCATTTTTCAAAAAATTGTTTAACAAAATAAATTGCAGCAACTGTTCGCTTTTGCCCACCTTCAAAAATATGAGAATAATCAAGCCATTATATTTACAAAAAGGTTCATACTAATGTTCACTAACTGGAGAACTGGTATTGCTAACCTACATGAGAGGTAATTTTAAGTAAACTAGAGAATTGAATTTAATACGTTTATGAAAACAGAAAATAATAGGAACATTCTTTTCAAAAGTCACAACAGTTTTTTTATGGTAGCATATTGCAATTAAGGTCTTCATTAAATGTATTTTAAAAAAACATAAGCATTTTTTTCAGAAGTACCTACCAAAAACATTTATAAATGTAAAACAATAAATAGAACAATTTATATCTAATGTAATTAGTTTCTAAAAAGGCAAACCACTGGAAAATAATGATTCCTTCCTTTACATCATTATTCTATCATTCTGATCTTCTCAAACACCTAACTTTAGATGAAAATTAGGTTTGCCTAGTTATTTTCCTTGGATGGTTATTTAACTAATGAAGGAAAAAATCACTTTGAGGTGTTAAATATTCCACATGAAACCAATTTGGCACTCATGTAACCTGTAGGTAGGTTTTAGAGGTGAAACTGTAAATGTCAGTGCTATAATTTGTTAAAGGCTTCTGACAACTAGTAAGTCAAGTCACCACAAGTTCTCACAATTCAAAGAACGTTTATATAAATGTGAGCTTTTCCTAAAAAGAGATAAATAAAAGACCTTTCCATTCAGGCTGAATGAAGCTTTTAAAAGAAAGAAGCTTTTAAACTAGTAGAGTGAGGAAACCATTAGAAATAGCATATTGAACTGTTTTTTTAAAAAATCTGGCATACATTTAACATGGTTTAGCCAAGTGATAAATTCCTCTTTTTCTCAATACAAAAGTTGTAATAAATGTAACTGTAAAGAGTTTACTTACCAGACATGAAGCTGTGCTATTAAAAACCAAGAGTTGAAAGTGTCAGGGATCTGTAATTCTTAAAAATGAATATGGTGAGTGCAAATGTATTTTACTACTTAAACATTTAAAAAGATACACGAATTGGCACTATTCTGCACATACGAGGAAAAAAGTCTGTATATATATATATGCATGCACATAATTCTTTTTTCCAGAGCTATTTAGTAATAATCATAATAATCATCCCCCAGTGAGGCACTACCTTGACGTAGTTGTGGGGCTTGTGTACTCTGAGGAAGATGAGAGCTATGCCAGAGGTTCAACCATACTGGACAGGTCTCATCAGAGGAGTCAGACAAAGAGTGTCTCTCCCATAAAAAATATGTTGAGACGTAAATTTCAGAAAGCCATAGGGGTTGGGAAGTAATTCAGAATGTAGAGACAAACCAGGGGGAGTTGGCAGTGAAGGAATCCAGCAGAGATATACAACTGTTCTCATTTGGAAACCAGGCACCTCTTCCTCAGGAAGAACAAGACCCGCTAACTAAAGAAATAAAAGAATTGAAACAAAAAATAACTGAGCATCTAGAACAGCACAAAAACAACAGAATAAGGCTGCCTGCATTGAAGCTTGTTCCAAAGAAACAGCTAACACAAGCATTAAAAGATGCAAATACTGCAATATCAAGTATAAGCACCAACAAACCAACTAATGTACAGCACAGCTGCAGTTATAACTGAATACCTGGGATGCAAAATCAACAAAGAAGAAAAACAAACAAACAGTGCACCACAAAAATGGAAGGTTAGACTAGAAAATAAGATCAGCAAGCAAGCTAGAAGAACAAGAAGACCAAAGAATACCTAATCAAGCGATACCACTTAAAAACAAGGAAGATCAAGGAAGCACTGAAAATAATAAAGCAGCAAATAACAGCTATAGCCAGGAAAATCAGTAGATACGAAGCTCGAATTGCAAATTATAGGCAGAATGTCCAATTTCAATCCAATCAGAAACGTTTCTACCAATCCATCAATGGAGAAACTGCAATGAATCAGTCAGTATCTGACAAGGAAGAAACAGTGCAGTTCTGGAAGCAGGTATGGGATAACCCAAAGAAATACAACAAGGATGCGGTTTGGTTAAAAGAGGTGGATGCAAATAAAACAGAAGTTGAAATGAAAGAACTAGTAATAACAACAAAAATGGTAGAAAAAAGAGCAAGGAAAATCAAAAATTGGTCAGCACCAGGTGAAGATGAACTGAATGGGTTTTGGTTGAAACATCTGTTATATACCCACTCACTGCCAAGCAGTTCAACAATATACTACAAGGAGGAGAAATTGAAAAGTGGCTAACAACTGAGAAAACTTACCTAATAATGAAAAATCCAGCAAAAGGGGCAACACCAGGCAATTACAGGCCAATTACCTGCTTACCAACAATTTTCAAATTGCTAACTGGTGTGGTAGCTGATGCAGTACAACAGCATCTAGTTGAAAACAATCTCTTTCCACCTGAGCAGAAAGGAAACCGCCCCAATAGCAGAGGAACAAAAGATCAACTCCTAATAGACAAAATGATCTTTGAAAACTGCAAGAAAAGGAAGACCAACCTGAATGTGGCATGGATTGACTACAAAAAGGCATTTGACTCGCTGCCACATGACTGGATAATCAAGTGCCTAGAAATAACAGGAGTCAGTAGAAACATCAGAAAATTTGTGCAAAGATCGATGGCACAATGGAAGACACAATTACAGGTCAATGGTGAGAGACTGGAAGAGGTTAATATCAAGAGAGGAATATTTCAAGGAGATTCATTATCACCACTACTATTTGTTATTGCACTGTTTCCTCTGTCAACAACACTGAATAACTTAGGACATGGCTATCAAACATCAAAAACATCTGCCAGACTATCCCACCTCCTTTACATGGATGATCTGAAGTTGTATGGAAAAACATCATCTGAAATAGAATCACTGCTCAACACTGTCCGTATATATAGTCAAGATATTGCAATGGAGTTAGGCTTGGACAAATGTGCCACACTTACTATCAAACAAGGAAAAATAGTGAAAACTGAAGGAATAAAGATGCCCCACGAAAATAACATTAAGAGTCTGGATGAGGAAGATTACTACAAATACTTGGGTATCCATCAAGCACACTGAAGTCAAGAAAAAGATTAGAGGTGAATACATCAAGAGAGCAAAGAAGATCTTAAAGTCCAAACTCAATGGAGGAAATACCATGAAGGCAATCAACACCTGGGCAATTCTAGTCATTAGATACACAGCTGGAATAGCGGATTGGACTCAAGTAGAACTAAAAGCAATGGATAGGAAGACCAGAAAAATAATGACAATGAATCATGTCCTTCATCCACGCAGTGACATTGACAGACTCTATCTATCAAGACAAATAGGTGGGCGTGGAATGCTGCAAGTACATCAGATGGTTAAAGAAGAAAAAATGGCTTTGGAAGAATATCTGAAGGACAATGATGAAGATGCACTGAAATTAGTGTATCAGGAAGGCTTACTGACTACTGGAGAGACCAAATTGGTCTACAGGAAAGACCAAATGAAGAACAGAATAGAGGCATGGGAACACAAAGCACTATATGGCCAGTACATTAAAAAAATAGCTGGGAAAGCAGATAATAACAAGACCTGGCAATGGATAAGAGCAGGAAAATTGAAGAAAGAGACTGAGGACTAATTCTGGCTACACAAGACCAAGCCTTAAGGACAAATGCATACAAAGTCAAAATTGAGAAGACAGCAACAGACAGTAAGTGCCACCTATGCAAAGAAACTGAAGAAACAGTGGACCACCTGGTAAGCTGCTGCAAGAAGATCACACAGACTGACTACAAGCAGCGGCATGACAAAGTAGCAACAATGGTGCATTGGAAGATCTGCAAGAAATATCATTTGCCTGTAAGCAAGAACTGGTGGGATCATAAAATAGAGAAAGTCATAGAAAATGATAAAATTAAACTGCTCTGGGATTTCAGAATTCAAACAGACAAGCACCTGCAACATAATACCCTGGACTTAACAATTGTCGATAAGAAAGACAAAAAAGTCTGGATAGTGGACGTAGCAGTGCCTGGAGACAGCAGAATAGACGAGAAAGAACTGGAGAAGATAACAAAATACAAAGACCTACAAATAGAAATAGAAAGACTGTGGCAAAAGCAAGTAAGGGTAGTACCAATAGTAATAGGCGCCTTGGATGCAATCTCAAAACAACTAGAGCACCACTTGAACACCATTGGAATTGACAAATTCGCCATTAGTCAATTGCAAAAGGCGGCCTTACTAGGAACTGCTTCCATCCTGCAACGATATCTGTAATACCATAAAACATCCACATCTGCCTATCCCAGGTCCTTGGTAATGACTCGATAGGTAGACAAAAATGCCAAATCCAGTCTGAACCTCTGGCTGACTGTGCGATGATTAATAATAATAATAATAATAATAATAATAATAATAATAATAATAATAATAATAATAATAATAATAATAATGAGTTGGAAGGGACCTTGGAAGTCTTGTAGTCCAACCCCCTGCTCAGGCAGGAAACCCTATACTATTTCAGACAAATGGCTGTCCAGTCTCTTCTTAAAAACTTCCAATGTTGAGCATTCACAACTTCTGGAGGCAGGTTGTTCCACTGATTAATTGTTTTAACTGTCAGGATATTTCTCCTTTTCTCCTTAGTTCTAGGTTGCTTCTCTCTTTGATTGCTCCATCCATTGCTTCTTGTCCTGCCTTCAGGTGCTTTGGAAAATAGCTTGACTCCCTCTTCTTTGTGGCAACCCCTGAGATATTGGAACACTGCTATCATGTCACCCCTAGTCCTTCTCTTCATTAAACTAGACATACCCAATTCCAGCAACCGTTTATGTTTTAGCCTCCAGTCCTCTAATCACCTTTGTTGCTCTTCTCTGTACTCTTTCTAGAATCTCAACATCTTTTTTCTATTGTGGTGACCAAAACTGGATGCAGTATTCCAAGTGTGGCCTTACCAAGACATTGTAAAGTGGTATTAACACTTCACGTGATCTTGATTCTATCCCTCTGTTAATGCAGCCTAGCACTGTGTTGGCTTTTTTGGCAACTGCAGCATACTGCTGGCTCATATTTAAGTGATTGTCCATTAGGACTCCGAGATCCCTCTTATACTTCCTACTATTGAGCAAGGTACCACCTATACTGTACCTATGCATTTGGTTTTTCTTGCCTAAATGTAGAACCTTACTTTTTTCACCATTGAATTTTATTTTATTAGATAGCGCCCAATGTTCAAGTCTGTCAAGATCCTTCTGTATCTTAAGCCCGTCTTCTGGAGTGTTGGCTATTCCTGCCAGCTTGGTGTCGTCTGCAAATTTGATGACTTCCATCTATCCCCTCATCCATATCATTGATGAAGATGTTGAAGAGCACTAGGCCCAGAACAGAGCCCTGGGGCACCCCACTACACACTTCCCTCCATGTAGATGCAGTTCCATTGAGGACCACATGCTGAGTACGGCCGGTCAGCCAGCTACGGATCCATCTGGTGGTAATGCTGTCTAACCCACATTTTTCTATCTTATCAAGTAGTAGATTGTAGTCTACTTTATCAAATGCCTTACTGAAGCCCAAGTAAATTATATCCACAGCATTCCTCTATGTAAGCCTATAAAATTTGGGAGAAGCTGGAGATCAGAGCTTTAGAGGAACTGGTGCTGGTGATAGTGGTGGTGATGATAATGATGGATAAAATTATCCATGTATATTAACATGGTGAGTCAGTATTTTAATATTTGAGTTAATAGGGAATATGTTGGGCTCTGCAATTTGTCCTTTGATAAACTAGTACTTTGTGACAAATTACATGATAGATTTTAAGCAATGTGGTATAAAATAATTTTTGTGCATATCATATAATTACCATAAATTATCACTGGGCATTACTTAACATAGGTATTCAAAGTCCACAATCTTTCTAGGCTGTAAGCTATCCTATTTCTATCACAATCACAGGATAGCGAGAAGAGAGAAGGATGAAGAACTTACTGTTAAAGAATTCTTCATAGTCTATTTTATCCACGCAACATGTATACATGCGTAGTGCTGCTATTCTAATTTTCTGAAGAGAAAAAACAATTATTATATTATTTCTATTTTTCACTAAAGAAATTTCTGCAAAAATACACAAATGTTCCTCTATATTTTGAGATATTCACATTTCTATATCATTTATTATTAGCTAAATGTGAATTATTTATTAAACCAATTTATAAAGCTGCCCATCTCACAAACAGCGAAAGGGCAGAATGCAAAATAAAAACCAAATTAAAAGGATTATTGCATCACAACATATTAAATTAGTTACATAGTTTCATTTAACAATATTCAGTTTAGAAAAACTTAATTAGCAATACTTCATTTCCACTAATATATGCTTTCAAATCTATTTAATCTCTGAGATATTTAGCTTCACAGTCTAAACTGAATTTAGGAGAATTTTTAATAATTAACATTGGGTTATAAAGCATTATCAATCCCATGCCAACAGACCAGGCAAGCAAATTCATAATGCATTTGCGTAATTGTATTTAGAATTCATTCATTCAAGCTTATATTTTTTTCTATTTCAAACATGCCAATTCTTCATTGATACCATTATCACAAAAGTAGAAGGGTCATTTAGTTATAAATGGGCTAAAGGGCCACCTTAACCTCAGTACAAGAATCCAAACTGAAATATTCTTTTCATAAGAATTTTATCCTGTTATTTAATTGGAATGTGCTTTCCTGTAACTTCAGAGCATTATTTTCTATCCCAGGGGTAGTCAACCTTGGCTCTTTTATGACTCGTGGACTTCAACTCCCAGAATTCCTGAGCTAGCCATGCTGGCTCAGGAATTCTGGGAGTTGAAGTCCACGAGTCATAAAAGAGCCAAGGTTGACTACCTGCTCTATCCTGTACCCCAAGGCTAGATCAATCAGGGACTGTGTAGTGAATCCTGCCTGCAGTGGGCATATATTGGACTTGCTAATCTCCTAGGTCCCTTCCAGCTCTATGATTCAATGGTAGTAAACATTCTTGGCTTTATCTGAAACATCCTGTCAGGTACTTAAAAATGTTGTAATCTTCTCAAGAAACAATAAGGTATGTTAGCCTTTCCTAAAACAATATCTTAAAGTAAACTTTGATGAGATGATCATATAAAAGTACCTTATTGCTCATGCATCTGTAATCTGTGATTACAGATATTACTGGGTAAATTGGAAATTTTATTATGCAGCATCAAGACACAGGTACACAGAAATTTAAAAAACAACTTTTAGATAAAAAATATGGATGATGGTACCTAAAAATGCATTCCAACTATTTCTGGGGAAAACTGTGGCAATACATTACCATTGTATTTGAGTTTAACTCTACTCATTAATTCTCTTTTTAACACTCCTTTAATAAATAAACAATTGAATAGATCTTAGTAATAAAAACATCACTTCTTTTCAATGCTTTTTAGAGAGTTGGTTGAGCATTTGATTTTTTTTTTTAAAAAAATTAGAATGTCCTTTATTTTACTTGGAGTCTTTACTTTTAAAAATAAATTTCCTTATATAATAAGTTGCTGGGTTACAACAAAAGAGAGATGCAATGTACTACTATGACATGTATTCCAACTGCACCATAATCATTCCAAGCACCGAACAATCATGTTTTATACTCTTCTGAGCATCTGCTTCAGTTTCAGAACTTAAAGTTGAAACAGCCCATTTCAAATTCAAAACAATCGTATCACATTTATAATGTATTCTACACTATCATTAACATAATTAAAAGGCACTCAAGGACCACTCAAGGGATAGAAAAGAATAAAAACATTAACTCAATCCATAGGGTGTTGTGTCACTATTAGACATGCAGAAAATATTCAGCCAAAATCAGCATTTTGATCTTCAAGTATAATAGCTGCAGTCCTATAATAGGATTATTTTATAAAATACAGTCATCACTTCTCTGGACTAGGAATTTGGTATTCCAGAAAAATTTAGACCAAATATAAGTAACAAGTTTATGAAGAAGAGGATCAAACTTAAGAAGAAAAATATTTACCCATTTTCTATATTTTAGTGGCCCTGTAAATCCCATTGCTTCTATTATCTTTGTGAAAGTGCCTACTTTCTCTTCAGATGGCTGAGCAGAACTTCTAAAAATCTATAATAAAAACAAAAAGTTGTAAAACTCACATTCGGATTCATAAATTTTCAGTTAAACTATATTCAGTTCTAAATGGCAGTTCTGAATTGATAGCATTTTTTCCCATTTTTTTCCAATGACTATTTTTGCAAAAATGAAGCAAAAAGATACTTTCCATCTATATGTTGAATCCAATTAATGTAGATCCTAGAGAGGTACCGTCTCTGTTAGATTTCATTTATATCTCTTCACTGCACAAGCCAAATCCCAATTAGCTAAGAAATAAGTTGAAACTGGCACAAATGGTACCCATCATTCTTTATTCCACACTACACAGAGCAGACATTTTGCTTTTGATGTATGACTTATCATATTCTTGTAATTGATATTCTTTGGAAAAAAAGGGAGGGGTACCAATACTTTTGGCCATGTCTATACCTCAATATAGAAGCAATGTACTAAAATGGATAAAAAATGTTTGCCATATTTCTCTTCTCCACCAAAAACTACATACAGATAGTACTCGACTTATGATCATAATTGAGCCCAAAATGTATGTTGCTAAGTGAAACATTTAAGTGAATTTTGCCCCATTTTACGATCTTTCTTCCCACAGTTGTTAAGTGAATCTAGCTTCCTCATTGACTTTACTTGTCAGAAGTTGGCAAAAGTAGATCACATGACCCCAGGACACTGCAACCATCATACATATGAACCAGTTGCCAAGCATCTGAATTTTGATCACATGACCACAGGGATGCTGCAATGGTGAAGAGTGTGAAAAACAGTCATAAGTCACTTTTTTCAATGTCATTGTAACTTCAAACGGTCATTAAATAAATGGTTGTAAGTTAAAGACTACCAGTATCATTTAAAATTTCACATTAAATAAAGGAGACACTGTTTGTTTATAACTTCACAAGAAGCATTTCTAAATACTTCCGGATTATCAAAGTTATCTAGATCCTAGTTTGTCACTATATTAATGAAAGAATTTATTGAAAAGCATGTGGCTTATAAAACTCCACATTTCCAATAGCAGTTCTGCTATTATTGATGGAAAGGTAGAGAACTTATATTTTCTTCCTGGGTTTTGTAGATTACCCCAATCTAGAGACTCGGAATGGTATTAAACAGATTTTTAAAAAATCAAGTACCATTGAGTAAAAAAGAACCTCCTCAAGTGGAAGCCACAAAACATTTAAGTTTAATGGAAAAATAAAGCCGATTTGACTACTTTAAGAAAGGGCTGGCTGGAAGGCTGTTGCATAACCCTCCAAAGGGAAAGAGACTTCTGAAGCATGGAGCCACAAAACCAAAAACATCTATTGCCTGGTCCACTGTAGCTTTGCATGGGGAGACTTCTCAGGAGGCCTACCTCTGAATACAATGCCTTATACCAGTGGTTCTCAACCTTTTTAATGCTGCGACCCCAACCGGTCGTAAGTCGAGGACTAAACCGGTCGTAAGTCGAGGACTACCCAAGCGGTCGTAAGTCGAGGACTTTCCCTGCCCGGGAGCGCCGCGCATGCGTGGTTCCGCCCCCTGCGCCGGTCGAGGCGTAGCTGGCAAGCGGCAGAGACGGAGCAGGCCGACCACCAGCTGGCCCAGCCCAAGGGAGGTAAGGCACCCGCCGGAAAAGGGGAAAAAAAATGGCGGACAAAAAAAATGGCAGACAGCCTTGCTTGGCGACCCCCATGAAATGGTCGATCGACCCCAAATGGGGTCCCGACCCACAGGTTGAGAACCACTGCCTTATACAGTCATCATTTTAATTAATCATAATAAATAACACATGAAGACCTGCAGTTCTGCCCATAGACTCTTGCTGCTTTCATCAAAACGATCAAAAGAGAGTCTTTTTTTTTTTGAATAATGAAACTCTGTCCCTTTTGGGAATATGCGTGACATCGTAACAAGCAGCAGGGCTTGTGTCACAACACTATTTGCATCACTCACTACCCTTCTGCAGATGCCCCTGGAAATCCCTGACTCTGGGCTGTTGGTTTGATCTCCGAGCTTGGCAATTTGGTTGCAAACTTTTTGTCTCCATTCGGGGGGAGGGGGGAAGAGAACATCTTCAGTATACTTTGAACTGTGCTTGTCTGTCAGAGCACTGGCCTTTAAATACCTTTTTGTGTGATGTAAATTGGTGTGGGTGTTGTTTGCCCAGATGTTGCTGAGTCATGGTCTGGTTTCGGACTGTTTGATTGGCTGGTTGTTGTTGCTGGGCCATACTCCTTGGTATCTAAGTATAGTCTGTGTGATGCAAATGGTGTTTGTTCGTTCGGTTGCCTCTGAGTCATGGTCTGGTTTCGGGTTGTTTGGTTGGCTGGCTGGTCCGATTTCTTGTGGAGGGCTGTGATTTTTGTTGCTGTGTGGTGGGGTGCCTGTTTGTTCATTTTTAAATGCTGCCTTCAGGATTGCGGTTGCAGTAGTTCTTTTGTTCTCAGCAGTTGGTAGATTGGGTTGATGTCAATGTGCCTGTTTATTGACTTGTTGGAGAACCAGGCTTCTCTTGCTCTCCTTGATTTCATTTGGTTTACAACAATGGAGACGAAACATTTGCAAACAAATCGCCAAGCTTGGTGATCAAACCAACAGCCCAACTACCAACCCAAGCTATGAATATTCAAACACATTCCAACCCTGACTCTGTCTATATTGCTGCTTTTCACCGTTATGGAAGTCCATAGATGCCTCTGTGTCTAGAATGAGCAAACATTGCTCAACCAGAATCAGAAATATTGCATGAACAGCCCTTACAGTTTTCTTATGAAGATCCAACAAATAGGGGAAACCCCCTTGAAAATTATGCTGCTATAAAGGTAGCCTCTATTATTTAGGCACACTTCTACACAAATCCAGAAATCTCCAGATCCAATAAGACCACAACTGTAGCCCAGTATATTCGAACAGCATAATTGTAATAGAAAACTTTGCTTTGTCCTGACCTTTGTGCCATGAAATGTTCTGTTTGGTTGTTTTATGGTCCTGATACTTTGTATTAAATCACAGCAAACTTTGGTTAACTGAAACTGGCCATTGTTGTGTCTCTGATAAAACAACAAAAAGAAAAGGGCATAAGTATGCAAAAAATAATGCAGAAGAGAAAAATTGTTAGCTTAAGAGATAACATAAGCCTGAAAGTTACATACTGGAGTCAACCAATAAAAGTTGACATCAGGAAGGTCTATGATGCCTTAAAATCTATACAAGTGAGCCATTACTAGAAATATATATTGAAAAAGAAAGAAACCTCTCAGTAGGCTCACAGAAACATTATCTTTTACCTTGTTATCCAAAACTATATTATCTCCACCTCCAATTGACTATAATTCTCATTTTTTAATCGAAGCCTCTCTAACTCCTACATTTCATCTTAATTCCTATTAATATCCTATATCCTTTCCTAACCACCGTAACACATACTTTTTTAGTTTTATGCAATACTGTCACATGGTTCAGTTGTTTAGTTTATAATAAAGAACAATGTTCTGCAAAGCATAGCAGATAAAACTGGTCTTCAGGAATGATAAAGGCAAATAGAGTAAGTCACGTCAGGTTCAAATTATTCAACAGATTAAAGGTACAGAAAATACTTCTTTCAACATTCCCACAAAATTCCCGCCCAATATAGTTCTCATTCTTGCAGCTGTACCTGTAAAAATATGTTATCCAGCAATTTCCATGGAGAATTCTGCCCCATTATGGTTGGACTCCTACCTGGAGAGAAGCATGAAGCAACCTGCCCCACTGCTGTTGAGCTAATGTTGGTATCAATCCATTGCATAATGAAATCCAATGAGGTTCTCTAGTACAGTGTATCTAGAAAAAGAAAATAAAAAAGAATGTATATCAATGGTCATTCATTTGGAACAGGATTTAAATTCAAAACATAGCATACGGCTTAGTATAAAATATAAATGTACTAGTCTTTTGAAGATTCTGAATTTCCTGAGCATACTTCAACCATATGAATTTTCAAGATATTTAATTACAATTCAAAGTGACAAATTATTAGTCAAATTTGTATTCTAATAACTTTTCAGTGTATGGTTAATATTTTTATTAATATTAATAGAAGAAGGGGACGACAAAGAATGAGGTGGCTGGATGGAGTCACTGAAGCAGTAGGCGTGAACTTAAATGGACTCCAGAAGATGGTAGAGGACAGGAAGACCTGGAGGAACGTTGTCCATGGGGTCGCGATGGGTCAGACACGACTTCACAATTAACAACAAGTTATAATTGCAGTGAAAAGATAAACAGTCACACTACTGAATATGAAAAGACTTACTTCCATTAACTGCAGTATTAAGAAAAGTATAGAGAAGCATTTGGATACAACAGATATTAACTGAGGCAATTATAACTGGATCTAAGTGATTTATTTTAATAAAATTGTTCTTTGCCTTTAGACTGTGTCATGGCACATCTCACTCACTAATAGATATTTATACTACATATACTGTAATATATCTGCCTTGCAAAAGATAAAGATTAATGTTCATATTTCTTCTAACCTTTTAATGATTATAGTTGCTATAAGAAGGTCCAAGCAACCTAGAACTAAGGAGAAATTTCCTGACAGTTAGAACAGTCAATCAGTGGAACACCTTGCCTTCACATGTTATTTTTTGTGTTGCAGGAACTTCCTGAGCCCAAGCCTAGAATTATGGGCTAGAACTTGTGGGAATTATATTCCAGCACAGGTGGAAGATGAATACTCCATCACTGGAAGTTTTTAAGAAGAGACTGGACAGCCATTTGTCTGAAATGGTATAGGGTTTCCTGCCTGAGCAGGGGGTTAGACTAGATAACCTCCAGTGTCCCTTCCAACTCTGTTATTCTGTTATATATGCAGGCACTATTGAGCAACTAACAGGCAAATGGGAGAATCAACACAAAAGTGGTTACAGGAACACACGGGATATGAAAAGTAATAAGAGTGTCAAACGAATAAAAAATCTCCATTGAGATTTCCAAACAAAAATGATCAATGCTCATCAGCATGATAGAGGTACAGAATTAAGTGCGTTAATTTTTATGACAATTAATGTTCAGCTCAAAAGTTCTTGCCTTGAGAAAGTGTGTGGGGATGGATCTCTTTAGCCTACCAACTAAACCTCGTGAAGGTTATGAACTCCTCCTCATCCTACTTTTCCTCCTCCGCAAAGGTTATTTCATAGTCACAGGACTCCCACGGGGACCCCCCCACACACACAGTTCTGAGAACTCCGGGGATCATACTTAGACAAGCAGCCCCCTTCTTTGCTCCGACTCGCAGCTTTCCCACCATGAAAACGATCCTACGGTGTGGGCTTGCCATTCATACATCAGGTTCTCGCTCTCGACCGAGCAACAAAGGCAAACAGAGCACCCCAGGAAGCAACCCCGCCCCCAGGGAAGCCCCAGAACATCGGACCATCCGTTCCTCAGGAGCAGCGCCCCGGCTAGTTTTACGAAAGAGCCTCTCGCAAACAGGTCATGCACCCGACTCACCACGACTTTCACCAGCGCCGCCATCTCCCTCGCGGGACGCGCTTCCGTTTCCGTGGAACGTCCAAGCTCTTCCGTTTCTCCGCCGGGCAAAGCGAGAAGGCGCGTTCTGGTGGTCCTACCTAGACAATGGCGCGATCGAACCGCGTTTCCACGGAGACTCCTCTAGAACGGCTTCCTCCGCCCGAGCCCCGAGGGGAGCTGAGTTAACAACCGCCGCGCTCTCCTCAGCCACCTGGAGGCCATCCGGACGAGGAAGATAGTTGTAGCGCTCCTTGTATTTCTCCGTGGACGTGGTTTCCTGTCCCAAGCGCCCTAGATAAGCTTGCCGATGCCTGCGGGTGTAAATCGTGCCGCCGCTCGCGATCGTGGGGAAACTGGAAGAGAGAGCCGCGGGGGTGGGGGGTGGGGAGAAAAAACGGGAAGGGGGTTTTTCTAAAGTGCCTTGTGCCATGTGCTGTTCTGGCTTGAAGCCGCCAGGAGCAGAAGAGGATTCCTGAAAGAATGTGCAGAATACTTGTTTTGGTTACGAGCCTAATAATGAATCAAATAAGTCTGCCCTGGATGCAGTGAAGAAAGCCCTGGTGCCTCTTAGATGGGTCATTGTTTAACCCAGGGGTAGTCAACCTTGGCTCTTTTATGACTCGTGGACTTCAATTCCTAGAATTCCTGAGCCAGCTTAGCTGGCTCAGGAATTCTGGGAGTTGAAGTCCACGAGTCATAAAAGAGCCAAGGTTGACTACCCCTGGTTTAACCTGATCCTAGTTTGGTGGCCTTGAGAACATTGTGATGAGTACTTGAGGTTTTGTTCTTTCATCTTCACTTCAATCTGAGGCTGCTACAAAAGGTCAAGGGATAAATGCAGTGAAGAAAAAGTGGGAAAATTCTAAATGGAGTTAAGATCTACTTAGAAGATTGCTAGAATAGGTACACCTGCTGCTGATGTAAATATTCTAAACATCCAATGTACACAACTGTTTAATGACCATTTGAAGTTACAGCAGCACTGAAAAAAGTGACATGACTGTTTTTTCACACAACCATTGCAACATCTCTATGGTCGTGATCAAAATTCTGATGCTTGGCAACTGACTCATATTTATGATGGTTGCAGTGCCCTGGGGTCAGGTGATCATCTTTTGCGACCTTCTGACAAAGTCAATGGGGAAGCCAGATTCACTTAGCAACCACGTTATTAACCTAATAACAGTGATTCACTTAACTGCTGCAAGAAAGTTCACAAAATGAGGAAAAACTCATCTCGCTTAGCAACAGAAATTTTGGGTTCAATTGTGGTCCAGGTCAAGGATTACCTATAGAAAAAAGGCTGCATCACATGTTATTTTTCGTGTTGCAGGAACTTCCTGAGCCCAAGCCTAGAATTATGGGCTAGAATTTGTGGGAGTTATATTCCAGCACAGGTAGAAGATGTCAGGTTGGAAATAATCTCTGCATATTCTTAGTTAAGAATAAATTTTCATTTAATGAGGCTTACTTTCAAAAGAATGTCCCTGTAGTATTGTGTCCATTAATGAGTTGAAAGGAAGCCAGGTTTCCTTCTCATACTAATTTGTGGATTTTAACCATGATTTGTGGAATATAATTAGTTTCACATACTATGCTGTCATAAACTATGATTTACAAGCCATAATGACTGAGTTCACATGCTAACCCAACACCAGGTAACTTAGTGAGATGTATATCTCAAGCTGTGGTACAAAACAGAAAATGAATCCATATTTATCATACTGTCATGTGTCTTCCTTCTAAATCAAGTAGTTTATTTTGAGCAGATGTGATCTTTCCCATTTTTATGAATCAGTTTTGCAATTTCCATGTTTGGGAGAACATAAACGGAGTTCAGGCTGGTTCCATACTGTATTGTCACAGTGTTGTCACTAGAGTGTTTTTCTCATGTATTACAGTGGTGTGTGCATGCCCAGGTGGGTTAGAACTTGCAGTGCAATATTAATATTGATACCTTCCAGATATAAAACCAAAAGATAGATAATTATTTTCATTTTTTCAGTGAGCACATAGATTGTATTTGTATTGTATTTTGCTTAAATGTGGTTAGTTGTGTCATAGTGAATTTTATATAAGGGGCAGCTGTATCCCACAATCCCACTGGAAAAAGTGTCTTGTAATCGACTCTCATACTTATGCAGCCCCCTTATGGGTCACATGATTGTGATTTGGGTACTTGACAATTATTGCATATTTATGATAATCACAAAGTTTTGTGTTCATATGATCACCAATTATGACTATCCCACCTGGCTTCAAATAAACAAAGTCAATGGGGAAGCCAGTAGGAGGCAGCAAGACATGGTCACATTATGTCTTTCTTAACAACTGTAGGTGATTTGCTTAATGAATGCAATTGAGACTGTTGAAACTACTGTCACTAAGTGGGGTGGTCACATAATGTTTTACTTAGAATTGCCAGTTCCAGTTAGGATAATTAACTGAGGTCCATTTGTACTTGGAAAATTGAACCAATAGAAAAAGTGGCAGCTAGACTTCCGGTTTCACATCGTAGCAATGCGGCCGAGGAATTGCGGAGCTCTGCACCCCACAGCTGGTTTCGCCCTGCCTGGGGACCCTAAATGAGTCTAATGTCGCCCCAGAGAGGCAGCAAAGAAGGAGGGGCACCCCGATGATCATGGAATGATGGTTGATCTGTTTGATCCCGGGGAAGCCCTCCAACCCAACAGGAGAAAGGCTAGCTGCACTCTGGTGACTAGCCCAAGCTACTGGCATCCAAAGTCCAAAAGCACCATCTAAGAACAACTGAACAGCGTGTTGGAGCTGGGTGAGAATATTGATCTTCTCTATTTTGAAACTGATTTCCTTTTTGCTTCCTCAAGAAGCAAAAAATCCTACGAAAGTGAGAAGGGGTCTATAACCCCACCTTTGCATAGACTGAAGCGGCGATTTAATTTTTATGGGGGACAGAAATACATTGAAATAGACTAATGTAAAGCTATAATTTGGATAAAAACTGAAAATTATGGAAATTGTTTTCTACTTCAAAGAATATTGACGGAATTACAAGAAAATAATAATAATAATCGTTTCATTTTAAAAGCTGGAAAATAAACACACTGACATCTAGTGGTGGAACAGAGTATAGAATTATAGCCATCTTGGTAAAACGCCCAGAAACAGAGTACTTTTATCCCTTTAATCCTCAAGGTCTCTTAGCCAAACAGAGAACAGCTAGCAATAGAAGAAAGAAAACACACTGGGCTATCTATTGCAGAATTGTTTATGAAAACTGCTGACATTAGATTATAAATACTTGCTGAGCTGTGATATTTAAGTTTAAGAATAGTCTGCAGAGAAAGAAAAACTTTGACCTTTTGGTTGTTCTCCTAGGGGGGAAATTACTGGATGGTTTTTAAATGACTGAACATTTGGATTGTTTATAAAGATAAGAGATATATCAGACTATAGTGTTTGGAATTTAAGACTGGTTGGTTTGATGAAAATGGAGGTTGCATATACAATTAAAAGTGGTAAGAAACCACATGCAATATTCTTTTCTAAAATCCCCAGTCTGGAACATCAGAGATATGCAGGAGAAATACTTCAAGATAAAACAAATATTTTCCAGGAGGAAATGTGCGCTATGTTGCAACTAATTCAAATGACAATGGCTTCAAATCATAAAGAGATTAAAAATAACTTTGATTATATAAATGAACACATTTTTGATCTAAGCTCATAATTAAAAAATTCTCAGAAAATGGTGACAAAGAATGAACAAACAAATCAGATAATAGAACAAAAACTGGAGAAAAATGATTCAAAGATGGAGGGTACAAATGAGGAAAACCACAACTTAACACACAAAGAAAAAATTACAAGATCTTGCTATAATATTGGAAACAGAAAAGACATTTCATTTTTCAAAACATCAAAACAAACCTGAAGACAAGAAAGAAGATTTGACAAAATGGACAATAGAGCTGTCAGGAGAACCACTAGAGTCTGGGAAACAAAAAATGGAAAGAGAAATTGAGGGAGAAGAAAAGTGG